TAAATGATGTCATACACGGAGATTAAAGTTTTAAACCATTCTAAATGCCTAGCAAAGATATTCACATTACGCCAACCGAAAAATCACCCCGAATATAAATAATATAAAAGTCTTTCAGTAAGTAAATTAGCACAGTGATATAATATCGATAAGAAATTGAACTGTGTATAGGTTTGACTCTATCACCAACTCGAAAGTCTTATGTTCGTTAATGTTTCAGTAACCGTTTAAAATTTGTTATATATTAGTTTGTCTTGGTAATAGCAAAAAACTAACTGAAATTACGAACCTGCAACAAGTAATAAAAGTCCTTAAACACCAAATATATTCAAATGGCTAAAAATAGTAGATAAAGTGACAAAAACTTAAGAGCACAACCAGATGTGTCCGTCTCGTAAGATGGCGTCTATCCAAATTAAAATAATCCAATGAAAACATTTCTTTATCTTGTTTTAGATTTGAGACACTAAAGTAAGGTGACCAATTTATTTCAATGAATAGGAAGCGAAAACATTTAAGAAAAAAGTACGTAACTAAATAAACGTAACATTTTATTAATTCAAACAAAAGTACATTCATTATCCTTACCTCCCTTATTGTTTTAATTAAAAGAGTACCTATTTTCTCCATTAAATTAATATTTTTTCAATATATCATTTTCTAACAATATACTGGAAATTTAGGAGCCAGAAATATCCATCATATTGGATTTTATAAATCGTGCTGCAGCTAGAGAACCGACATTCAATCGTGATCGATCAACTAGATTAACACATTAACACTAGATTAGCCCATTCGTTTTAAAGTATCGATAAGGAAGACAGGTAGGAGGACACTTTTCGAGAATGGACAGAACTACAAAAAGAAGAATGCCCTCTCCAAAGGGGGACGATTGGTCACCTTAACTAAAACATACATTACTTGATACACAATTGGTGATAATTCTAGGCCAGTTCGGGATATAAGAGGTGCCTTGTAAAGGCCGGTGAAGTTCGCGGTTGGAGTGGAGGCAAGTGGCTGCTTGGTAGAGGTGGCAAGTGGCTCATGGTGGTTTTGGTTTTGAGGAGTTTTTCTTGTCTCTGTGTATTAGGTGTGTTTGGTATTGCTCTTAACATTTTTCTCAAAGACAATGAGAGCTTTTACACTTCAAAGTTTCTAATTTAACTTATTAAGTCTTCTATTTAAACCTCAAGATTTCTCTATTAATTTACTTGAGGGTGGACTATTTAAAAATTGTTTCTGTTTTACTTTCACAATTAAATTGAGGTATTAGAAATTTTATCAATTTTTATTAAAATTATTGGAACAGGAAATCTTAACAAAGTAGGAAAGTAGTATAATTTTGATCCGTCATAATATATTCAGAATCGATATTACTGTAAATTCGCCACCTTACGGATCTATTTTGTTTCAAGCACTTCTTTACTTAGATAATGGTTTTACGAGCATAATATATTAGTGATGTTTGGACTTTACATTTTACTTTTATTTTCTAATGAATTTCAAAGTGAAACGCATTAACGTTAACAACTTTTTTATTGATATCAATCTTATATTACAATACTGGTCGGTAAAATAAATAATGTATGGAATTATATTTACATAATATTATTATCAGTGATGACTTAAGAATTCAATCGTTATTGTTGTTAAGACACTTGAAATACAATAGCAATTTCAAATATTCACTAGCTTCTTCTGAATGATCAAAATGTTTGTTCTGTACTTCCATGATAAAAATAGTACTCAAGAAATTTCTTGCTATATACTCCAAGTCTTCTGATCCCACTGACAATATTGTCGAATTATCAAAATTGTTTATGTTGGTTCTAAAAAGCCGTCAAAACTGATTTTCTTCACTTCACTTCACTTAAGTAATTTCAAATTTTGAACATCTGTTCTGATTCATCTTGAAGGAATGTGTTCATGTTTTTTTCAGACACGATTTTCTTCATTTTCGAATTGTCTAGAATATTGAACAGATGCTTCAACTTTCTTTGCTATGGCTTTCTTGATGCTGCGAAGTTGTGGGTTGCTCTGTTTGATACGTTGGCAGCAAGGTCGAATGAGGATCCAATAGAACAACTCGATCACGCTGAGAAGACTCATCCCCAAACAGAGACCCATGAAGCCGCCCACGTTCGCTGTAAATGAACAGACGAAATCACCATAACACTCAAGGAACTTGCACCGGCTGAGTTTAGCCCGGAGCCGCTGACTCTGCAGTCGTAGGATTCGAGTCCCGACAGTGGCGGATGTTCGACTCTAGCTACGTAGCTAGATCGATTTCAGCCGCTGACTGGGCGGAGACTTCTAACGGGTGGTTGCTTTGATTGGTAGTTATCTGTGGTTTCTCCGATCAATACGAGACGAATGCCGGTCCTAACAAATGGGCCACGGATCGCACGCGATCCTTCTTTTTTCTCCCCATCCTCTCCTCTTACTCTCACACACGCACTATACTACCACACTACCAGACCGATCTCGGATCTTAGAGCTCTCCCGAGTGGGCCAATGCCCTGCTGAGGAGATACCAGGTGGGGGAAATTTCCGCAAGTCAACGTATAGGTCGGCACCGGATATCAACTTTCATCGGGTAAGGAACCACCTTCACCTCCTGGCATTCACTGCACTAATTGCTACAGCAGTTGTGCACGGAAAGAATCAAGCAATCATAAGGTACATTTTTCAGATAGGAGAATTTGTAAAGCTTGCTGGTTGTTTGACGATAGCTTCATAAACATTAATTTTGATTAAATTATTGGAGAAACATAATTAAAATGAAGATAATACTGCAAATATAGTACGTCCTTGTATATATTGAAGAGACACATCTACAGTTGAACCCTGAGGCACAATTTGTGAGGATAAGTTTGACGTGGTTTAGTAGCGAGTAAGGACATGTCAGGAGGAGAAAAATCAATTATGTATAATAGCTGCCTCTACAACGCAAGGTAAACATTTTAGAAGAACACAATAAAAGTAAAAATAAATTGAGAGAATAAATATAATACTCTAGGGTAAATTTGAACTGTCTACTTGATTTTTAGTGAAATCAGAATGTGTTGTTTTCCTATGCAATTTTCTTTGCTCCAATGGGAAAGGTGAAAATAGATAGGTCCATTGCAATCAATACGTGGTGAACCCTAGAAGCCAGACTTTTGATGAATTCATAATGTCTGTTGCAACTAAATCTATTGCATTAAAAAACGTTTGTATTACAAACCAGGAATTAAAAATTAACATTTCATTGTCAGTGAGCAAATAAAAAGTCTGATTCTACCTTTTGAAAAACGCTAATTGTAAGGGCAATAAGATTTTTACTTGTCAAATAATTGTAAGGTAATTGTAAAGTTCAACATGATACAGAAATGTGTTCGTAAGCACACTGAGTGAATTCGTAATCTAAATTGTTCCTAAGCATAGTTTTAATTTATGAGAGTGACGCTTTCCATTTTAGCTCAGAGAGATTTGATATCTAGCGGTATGCTCTTCACGCAAATAGCCAATAGGCGCTGCTGATGTTGACAAGAGTGACCAAGATATGAAGAATTACATGCAAAATGAATTGACATGGTAACCAACGTATTGAATGTTTTATCCGCATATTCAATAATATACTTTGGTGGGTAGGTAGGTGGGGGAAGAGCTGACATTATCCGTGGGAAGTACGTCATGGACATCTATGGAGTCACATATAGTACTCGATGAAGCTAGTTCAAAGAGCATTCTTTGTACTCCTGGTATGAATTGATAGTGACATTATAAGTTTTATATTTTCTAAAATAAGTAGAACATTTTTTGTGTTATCCTGGAATATGACGGGCTATTGAGGAATTAATAAAATGCCCTAATTAAGAGAATTTACAAAAAAACACTAAAAATTGGCAACCAAACTTTTTTACCTTTATCTCATTCAAATTATAAGTACAGAGAAATACAAAAATATTTCTGTGTTAATAAACGTGACAAAATACCTTAACCGACTGTTAATTAAATTAAGTGTTTAGCTTGCCCTTTAGTTCAGAAAGTCTTGTTCAGCCGCCGATAACTTTGTCTACACTTTTGTATGAATGTCTTATTGCATATGACACGGTTCTTGCTGTGGTTTCTAGACCTTTGGGACATTATATTGGCCAAAATGCTTTTAGTGATCATGTAATTATTTCACACTTTTTCATAGAGGTCAGGTTTTGCGAGATGCAAAGTACTCTTGGTTCAGACATTGATACACATAACATAAGCATTTAATGCTAATGTTCGAAGAAATTATTACTGTACTGAAATTATTTGGAGAAAAGGAGATTGCATACATTCCGTCCGCCCTAACTTCGGCCATGAAAATGAAAAGGGTAACAAACTCAAACATTCTCATCGTTCACATAATTATTTCAATGTTAATTGATTATTTCATGTTTCCGGGTGTGCCAACGGTTACCGGTCAGTAATACGGACTACGTAAACAATACCTAATATTTTAGGTCTAACGACATTTGGTCTACTCTAAAAGGTCTACGTAATAAATGTCTATACATCGCGCTAGCCTGCATGAAAAAAATGCCTAATGAAAACATGTCTACACGAAGAAATGTCAATTTCCTAAATGTCTAAGGCAATATTGCAAATGTGTCTACGAAATATAAAAAAGTATCTAAGTTTGCAAGTTTGTTACACTTCTTAATAAGTGTAATTATAAGTGCATGATGAAAATCAAAAAATATATTTATAAAATATATGCAGTACGGGAATAGGACAGAGTTTCTTTAAAATCAGTCTACATCTGAATTTGACCTAGTAATACAAGTTACATTGCAAATATCTCTCTGAAAACATCTCCAATAAAAGGTTCTTCCACCTCCGCCGTTTCGTCTAAAGGTGTAATCGAAATTATTATGTATATCTTTAACTTTGTTTTTGGATTATAAAGTGGAAGTGAGCATGATTTTTTGTAATAGGGCCTGATGTGTCTGAAATAAAAATATACCTCATAATGTTATTGCGGCGGCAACTTATTTATTTTTGAAAATCAAGTTACGATAATGTTAAATATACATATTGTTTTATACTTTCAATTTTTTATTACCTTTCATATAATATTTTAACAGAATATTTGTTAGACATTCTAATAGACTTGTAGCTGATAGACTTTGTAGTTAGTAGACATTCTTGTGTGTTTAGCATTTTAGCTGTGGACGTTTAACCATGAGACTTAATGTCGCTGTAGACCATATTTTTTATTAGACATTTTTTCTGTTAGACCTTAATAGAGTTAGACGTTTTCCCTGTAGAACTACCAAGTTCCTTAAAGCGCGTCAATTGCAATGGTAATTAGACCCGTGGGGGTAGTGCATGTTTTATCACGGGAAGTGGCGGTGATGCCGGTATCATCTTTCGCTTTCGGGGACATGGGCGTGCTCAAGATCCACCACCATTGATTGATAATTTCGTGTTTCAGGACGCGTCATCTGTCAAGATCATTAGTCTCGTAATTGTAGAGCGTATTTTTGTTCGGGAGGTAGCGGTGATCTCGCTGGATGGCAGGATGCGGCGCAGACCTTCCTGTCGGCTACGGGTTTTTTCCCTCAACCAGGTATCTCCCACCAGCGGGACATCGCCCCAGCCAGGGCGATCTCTAAGCTCCCGATTGGTCTCCCGACACTAGTGATACGAAGGTTGCCTTTGATGTTTCGGGATTTGGCAACCCTGGTGTTGCAATCTGGCAACTGACAACTCTATCGTACAGTTGGATGTTTTGAGGTTATACGTACTCAGAACGTTTTGACATACGAGCGCTATTTGTGTTTTTACAGTAACTTAAAAGATTCAAAAGATTCTTGGCCCAAAAATGGAATTAATCGTGAACATTTTCGTGCGATTATTTTTTACAACTTTCGACGTGGATTAACTCATCAACAGTGCATGGATGAACTTCATTCAATTTTTGGCGATGAAGTTCCATCAAGTACCAGTGCTTATCGATGGTATGATGAATTCAATCGTGGTCGTAGTTCACTCCAAGACGAATTTCGCGAAGGTCGTCCAACATCAGTTGTTGTTCCGAAAATCATTGATGCTGTGCGTGAACTGATATTGCAAGATCGCCATGTGACCTATCGAGAGGTTGAGACAACCTTAGGCATTAGTGGGACAAGCATACATTCAATATTGCATGAACATTTGACTGCCAAAAAAATTTGTTTGCGTTGGATCCCACACAATTTGTCAATCGCTCAAAAAAAGGCTCGTGTCGATTGGTCGAAAGAAATGCTCACAAAATACGATCGTGGTGCTTCGACACATGTCTATGACATTGTGACAGGTGATGAATCGTGGATTTACGCGTATGAGCCCGAAAATAAACAGCAGTCGACTGTATGGGTGTTTCAAGATAAGCAAAATCCAACAAAAGTTGTTCGCACGTAAAAAACAAACTGAGAGGTCAACGTTTTTCGACACCTGAAGAAGCGGTTGCTGCATTCAAATGCATGTTTTGGAGATACCTCAGAGTAGCAAAAGTGCTTCGACAATTGGTTAAAACGTATGCAAAAGTGTAAATAATTTCATGGGGAATATTTTGAAAAACAATAAAGTGATTTTCGATGATTATTAATTGTTTTTGTTCTTTAATCCTGAAATATAAAAGGCAGCCCTCGTAGTGTTGCGCAGGGAAGTGTGTGTAAGAGAGTAAGATGATATGACAAGGAAGAGGAAGGAAAGATTACGTTCGGTCCGTGGCCCGTTTGCTACGGTACTGCACCGGCATTCGTCTGATATTGATCGGGGAAACCATAATCAGAGCAAGCGGAGTTCTCTTCCAGTCAGCGGCTGATCTTGACTTAGCCAACTAGCTGGTGTCCGTGAATCCTGCCTCCGTCGGGGCTCGAACACAAGGACCTCCTGGTCAGAGGCTCTGACATCAGAGACCCTGATCCCCCTCGAACTGTCACATCATTATAGAACTATCTAAAACTATGATGATACGTTTTTCTCAAGAATTAAGTTTTAATAGACCAAGCTAGTTTGGTCTCTAATCAGAAGTTACTTAAATAACACGCTTATTAAGACAATTGTTCGAAAGATTTATCACATGATAATATAATTGGGAAAATCACGACCCGATATTATTAATTTGGAAAGTTTATTGATGAGTTCACATAATCAAAATGAATGAACCTAATTTTTTACATTACATACATGCATTAGATAGAGAAGTTATCTACTTACCCAAGATATCAAGTGTATCACGTAGTGGCTTGCGTTCCAAGGGGAGATAATGAGAATCTTCAAAGTAAATTGATATAACTGATCTACTAATTGGACTCTCCTTTTCTATATTTGACCTAGAAGGCAAATGGATACAAATATAATTTTTTACATACTTTTAACATTTACATATTAAAATAATCAAAGAAATAAATAGCAACTGCTATTTATCTCTCGCATCCCCTGCCCCTCTTGCCTCTCCTGTCCTTCTCGTCTCCCCCGTCCGTCTCTCCTCTTCGTGTCTACTCTTCAAATCCAACAATGCTGTTATGAATCATTCACAATGATTGTAATGCGTTTCTATGAAACAAGTCATAATATATTAAATAAACCCGCAATGATCTGGGCAAAAGCGATTGCGAAAAAAAATTTAAAAGATCACATTGCTCTGAATAAGCAACAAACAATTTAATAATGTAGGTAAAAGTTTAAATTATATACTGTAGACTCAAATTAGAATGATCTTTCTTAACCGTAATACGAACAAATATTGGCTCTTGCCAAGGAATTTCTATCAAACTTAATTTTATGTTATCTTTATGAATGTTTGTCGTATAATAGTTATTAGCCTATATAGAAATGTAATGAGTGTTATTACTGCAGAGGCCAAAAGTTAAAAATCTATGTGGATCGTAGCGGAGACGAAATGCAGTAATGTGAATTTTCGCATAAATTGTGAGATATTTTTTATCACTATAAAATCTCACGATTTGTGCGAAAATTTACGACATTACTGCAATAGTAAACAAATGAATTCTGATGCTCGTTATTACGATACTGTGAGGTGTTGCTTGCAATATATTTAAATAATTTTCGTATACCGTAGTTCGAGAAAAGATGGATGTAAATAATTCTCCTGAACCTAAAGATACCAAAAGAAATGGCGTTCGGTGAGGAAGTTGGCGCGTCGACTTCCATTGGCGGCGCCTTCAGCTCGTCAATAAATATGATTGCCAGAGAAGAGATTCATTTGGCTGAATGCCAGGAAATTGATGTTAACTTAAATAATATACATTTCAAAATGTACTATTGTAATAGTACTATATTAAGAGTAATTAAAATGAACAATAATAATCTCCAAAACTAATTAGTTACTTTTATTCTCAATTATTTGAATCTGATTTTTTTGTTTATCGTCATATTTTTTCTTAATAAACATTTGTCTTGCGATGAATTGATAGTTGTTTATTTACGCTCCTAAGAATATTAAATTTCTTACAATACAGGGTATGAGGGCACTTAACATGTGTGAAGGGTTGCTTTTTTACAGGGGTTAAAGACGCATGTGACCGATATACATTGTAATTCGTGTTATCCGATTACACTCACTCACACACACACACACACACACACACACACACACACACACACACACACACACATATATATATATATATATATATATATATATATATATATATATAGGTGGGTGAGTGTATGAGTGTTATCGGATTATACGAATTTTTGTTGTGTAATAGATGTTGCAATGCTCTTCCACCATTCTCCTGTAGTCTTGTAGTGCACAAGAAATAGTCGTTTGATTATCTTGTTCATATTAAACTTGTTTCGTTAGTAACTATTGAACAAGTACTGTTTTTATGTCGCCTTCAACTGCCAAAAGTTGTAGATTAATCACTTTAAAATATTGTATAGTGCCACTACTGAACGTATCGAGAAACAATTATTGTTTTTTAGGGTTTTTGAATTCCGTAATTTATTTACCATCACTCAAACTTCAAAAAATAAAACAATAAACTTTCTATATTTGAAAAGAATTGAAAGATGACATACCTCTCGTGTGATATATTCTCATTTTTCTGATGCAGATTGCCACTTGACGTTTCAACCTTGTAGTGTAAGTAGGTGCAGGTTTGGATGCATCCGCAAGGGGGGTCTGTTGGTCCACATTCCTCTGAAGACCTTCCCCAGTTAATACGTTCTGAAACAAACATTGCCATGTAAATAATGGAACACCGCACTGTTCATAAAGCAAATGCCACAGGCTTGTCACTTTGCTTACCTATCACTTTTTTTACACATGACTCTTGATCTTGTTTGCAAACAGGCATGCTCCGATTTTCTGTAATGCCGAAAAAAATATTTAGAGTATATAACTACACTACAACATATTATTAAATGGAAAAAATATTGAGGCAGAATTATTTAAATATCAAGGAATGATAAACGTTTACTGAAATAAATGTATGGCTTTTTAACCTTTTTTGAAAAAAAAATCTTTCAGCCTGCTCGTCATTTCTGCCCTTTAGGGAAATTCAAATTGCACGTTTTACACGTTAAATTTAAGGGATGGATATCCGCATGTGTGATCTGCTTTTTTAGGGGCCAGTTGAATCGCTTGATTAGCCAGTGAACAGTTAGATTTATGGTGCAAGCTCGCGAGACTGACGACTTCTGGCATAAAATGTTACAAAATGGTAGAGATTTGGATGGATTCTAAAATATCACCTTAGTTAATGTTATTTTATTCGAATCTCAAAAATTATACATGGAAATGAGAGAGCACAAAAATAAATTATATTAGTGACGTGTGCGAATAGTTATGCTATCTATTAAACCCAACCGAGAATTCTTTAAAATCATAGTTTGAAAACCACGTGCCTAAAAATTGGTTTGTTTCCAAAACTATAAAAAGAATATTGATATTTCAAGATCCTTTTGTACCCTCAGAACATTGTTTTGCACCAAGTTTTATAGAATTGCTGATGCCGAGATATGGTGAACATCTGGACGCAGAGTGAAATGTTTTGTGTCAATTCTTCTGGAGAAACTGAGAGTGAAACCGAAATCAAATATAAGCACACAGTACCAACTAAGGTTAATAACCTAGAAATACATCTGCCCTCAATTCTCTTTCATTTTATAATCTCGATTTAGGGTACTGATACGAGAAAAATTCACCATTTTTAGATGTGAAAAATCACAGTGCTAATTTTATAGCTACGATTCAGAATATTCATCTTTTAGGTAAATACAGGCTTAAAATCTGTCTCGTGACGCATCAATTGAATTCCGTGTAACCTCCTTAAGACAATTAGAAACTGCAGTCATCAAAAGAGTCTTTGATCTGTGTTATGCGATGTTTCTTTTTAAGGACCATTTTCTCTAGAAAAGTCCACAATTTGTAATCTTGAGAATTTAGATCACAAAAAACGTATGGAGGATTAGTAACAGAAACAGAGACTGAACCATTTGCCCGTAATCATTCTTAAATAATCTTGACCTTATGTGTTGGAACAGAGTGCTTTTGGAGAATTCCCACAACAAGATAAAAGACAGGTTTGATGGCTGCAGTTGGTCATTTTCTCAATGCACAAGATTCCAATTCTACCCCATGATTTGTATTGTATGTAGAAAATTAGTAATTCACATTTTTTTATACCTACAAATTTGTATTTCTTTTGAACCGCATGTAGTCCAAATATTGGCATTATAATTTATGTAATACTTATGGTAGCATATTTATAATCATATAATATGGGCATGTCAGGCCGTGTAATACACACTGAGTGCCCAATTCAACGTACGAGGCATGTAGAAGTCGACGCATTTGCACTCCCGGAAAGTTGTGTTGGCGAGGCATTCCAGCTCGCAGTTGGACTGCGTGTAGTACTGGAAGAACTGAAGGCGGCGCTCGCCCGGGAATAGGCACTTGCGCCGCGCCGGGGTAGAGAAGCTCGAGTAGTCCTGCATGTCCTTGGACGGATGCATTCCGGCCGGGGTCACTGCGATGTTCACCTTGGAGTTCAGCGACACGAGAATGGATTTGCGATTGGACTGCGGGTATTCAATTGGACTGTGGAGAAGCACCTGGGACAACACAGGACACATTTTGTTTGTTATTTAAGGTCGCATCAACTACTAGGTCATTAGCGACCACTATTGCTTGTAGCGGTATGGTAACTGTGGGTTGACACGATAATGATGATGATAGGGGATGAAAGGACGAAATACAATACAACCATGCCCGAGGCGGGACTCGAACCCGCGATCCTTAGGACACATTTTGTCAAGAATACCATTGGTAGTTGTTTTATTGTCAGGTGATAAATGTATTTTAAGATTTCTATTTTAACTGAAGAAAAAAAAATCACATACTAATGTGCTGAAATTCTAAGGTTTTGCTGGCGTAAGAACATGTGGTTTAATTTTCCACGTTCTCTGATCATTCATACTCTGATCACTCACTCACATGAAATATTAGAATGTTACCTCAAATCCATTTCTCCAGCTTTTGTGATCTGCATAAGTCAAATTTGTCTTCAGTTGCAGAAACAGTCCCGCTTTCTTGCCAGCACCCAGTGCTCGATGGGGATATGAGTCAATCTTGCTGACATTAGCGTAGCCTTTAACTGGATCCCACTCTTCAGCACTGTAGCGTAGATTATTCTTTCGCAAATGGTGAAATCTAGGAAGAAAGAATATTTAAAAAACGATATTAATTTCCGTAATTCGTATTTATAATTATTACGAAATACATATCAAGTTTGTTGGAAATAATTCTTGCCTTCTTACGATTATATATGAACAAGAAGTATTTTCTATATTTTTTCCAATTATATTTATTTCACTCGTGTCATTAGATTAATTTATTTATATTCACTGATTTATCTTTTGTGGTACATATTATTTCAACCTTCATACAGGCCTCAATCAGTGGTAGCTTGTAGGGTAGTGCCAGTGTGCCATGGCACCACTAATGAAAAGGAAGGTAAAGCCATTTTACTCACAAATAAGTGAATAAAAAATGTTTGTTTCAAATAGTTTTCTTTTTAGTAATTAATTTGAACAAGCGTTTAGTCCTTTGATGCGTTATCAATACTCTCTGCATGCGCGCAGGGCTGAGTGCTACCAACCGGCCTTTTTCTAAACCGCTGAGCCATCTAGGGACTGCCATCCTCAGTCTCGGCCCATTTCACATTACAAAGAAGTTGATTTCTGTTTGTCTCTTATGGATGAGACGGAACCAAAATCAACTACTGCGGCAGTAGTTTACATTTTGTTCCATGAAGAGCACTAATGGCACTACCTTTATCAAGCAGTCTGTCTCTCGCTGAGGAAGATCCCAATGCCTTGGCATTTCGTACGTTTTTGCTTGTATTTCGCACACGAAGAGGCGGCGTATGCATGGGCGCAAGGCCTTCCCTCTTCTTCGGCAACTCAGGAAGCTGTGTCCTCAGGCTTTCAGGTTGAGTATTTTTATTTCTTTTTATTATTTTTAAAAACATTTAATCTTCTTTATAAATTAATAAATATGGTCAGTGTAAAAATTAAATTTTGTTGCTCACGAATTTAATGCTAGTGTTTACTAGACCGGCTTTAAAATAGATGTTTCAAACAACGATGATTTTTTATTGGAATTTAATTAACATTCATGTTTTAGTTTTGTTATCGATGTCGCATTACTAACTGGCACCACCAATAGAATTCAGTACCTGACGCCGCTGGCCACAAATGTAATCAACATGCGTCGTTACTTAATTATAAAGAAATATTATTTACATTTCATGGGAATGGATTATAAATCCATTAATCAAATTATTGTACTGAATGAAAGAAATCGACAACTTACGATTCATTTACTATTAATAAGCCAGGATTCATATTAAATGTGTAGCATAGACCATTTTCAGTAAGAACAGGTTCCAGTTCTATTTTAGTGAGTGGGTTGAGATGTAACTTCTCTATAAAGTCATTTCTGAGTGAGAGCGTCTGTGTAAAAGAAAATAATACAATTTTTTTATTACGAAACACGGAGACAAAGGAAACCAAAAAAGCCTTAAATAGTAGATTTTTTCATACCTCTTCAACTCTGTCATTGGCTGTTGAATTTATCTCGTTCATTGTGAGTTCCTTGTATATCACAAATGGTGCAATGTATATTTTTGGATTTTCGGGTGTTTTCCTGAAGAAAAAAATTAGAAATTACAACAGTACCAACATAAGGTACTAGAAGTACCTTGAATTGAGAATAAACAAATGGTAAAAGACAACCCTAATACAACCTTGTGATGTACTCTTCACCAGCAAATTACAGACGTAATTCCATTAATAAAAGCATTTAATGGAAACTTAGCTACAGAACTCAGCGTTGCTCATTTGTCCTTTGCCTACAACTATAAGGAGAAAAATGAATTTTATCTATAGTGTAAAATGAAGTAATTTTATTTACAAACCCACCAATCTGTGCCTCTGTTTTCTCCATCCTCTCCCTCCTCTACTCCACCCAGTCCTATTCTACTCCGTCCAGCACTAGCGCGTAACTTTCTGCTCCGTTTCGACCCATTTCGTCGCCGTCACCCATCCTGATCCAAATCGCTACCTCACTCTAGTCTGTCACCGTTCGGCTCCATCTTTCCCCTCCCCATCCTAACTGGACCTGTTTCGCCGGCGCCGCCCTAACAATGCCCCAACCTGCCCTTTCCCCTCCCACCATGCTTAGCATTATCCAGAAGCAATGCAGGTTGCATACTCGTCTTCGTAACTAAAAATGGGGTGTAACAAACATTTGCGAAGCCCTACGAGCTAAAAACGTACTTTAAATGATGCCTTAGAAAATTTACCTTTCAGAGAAACAGAAATATGGAAGGAAATAGATTTAATCGTTTCCGAGACTAGCCCTGACCGGCTAATAAAAATTGTAAAAACAACTGTGAGAGCTTTTATAACTTTTAAATAACCATAAGAACTTATAAAAATGAAGTTACTTTGCAATCGTAGACAGGCGCATACATTTTCTTAATAAACAAACAAACACACACAACTTCTTTGAATGCACTACGAATTAATTGCCAAGTAATAATATGCGAAGCGCCATACTGAATGTATAGAGAGTCACGCAGACTCAATAATGCACAAGTGTAATAGCTCAACGAATTTATGTAGCTAGAATGCAAGAAAAGTACACTTTCAAATTTACGTTTTAAGAAATGTCATATACATGTTTAATCCTGTGAAAAATACAGTCTATTGCATGATGGTAGTAAACAAAGCTGGTTCTGTGAAATTAGTTATTTATGGCTTGTCATCCCTTTGATGATTTGATGTTCTAATTTTTGTCCATATTGCCAAATAAATTGATAATAAATGGACCACCCCGGGCTGCTCAAGGCCTCTAAACTATATTAGATTATTATAACCTCACTTAAAAACCGTATTTCGTGAACGAATCGGAAAAGGTTCGAAACACTTGATGCATGCAGAACAATTTCCTAGCGACTTCATTTAAGAGTGATACAGGAATTAAAAAAAAAGTGGCTTTTAAAAGTAACATTGTGAAATAGTACTCACAGCTCTGGAAAGAGTGTACGATTTCCTCTGTATTCGTTTACAAATTTCGTGTAATTGAAATATTGCGGCCGGTAGCATTCGTAAGATGGACAGATGGTAACGGCTGGAAAGGGAATCTCCCACACTGGTTGCTGACACGTGTGCTGTTGAATTACGACAGGCTCGGTCCTCCACTCTGACCAGCTTTCGAATATGAGGTAGATACACGCAGCCAATGCGATTGTGACACCGAAAAACCACAGCACTCTAAAACAAATAATACGAAATTCAGGAAATTTCAAACAAGTATCCAATAATTTCATATTTTGCAACTTATTCTACTTCCAAACAATTATTTTAAACTATATTCCACATCTATTATTACTTCTATATTACTTTCTAACACAAATGAAGTCAGTCATAATAGTTATTTGTATACCAAAGGCGTTATAATGTTTGTACATTTGTCATAAAAGGTATTGGTCAAAATGACCCGAGGCCACGAAAAACGTACAGACGTGGCAGATCAGTGGTGTGTATTTATTTGGAAAAAATGAGAATTTATCGTTCATTGAAATGATGAAAAGGATGAATTTTGAAAAAAAAATGTGTACCATTCTGTAATATTTGTACTTATAGTATGTGTTTTTCATATCAATTGTAAATAATTATTTGCTTCAAATATTGTTAATACTTTGTAAAAACAATGGTGTCGCTCATGACCATGTAGTTTATGCGACCATAATAAATAAAGCAAAAAATAAAAAATAAAAAAAATTGTTTCCTGGCATGTTAAATATATTATTAGGCATTCACTCAGAAATGTCTATCTGATCTGGAATAACACAGCCAAAACTAATATTGAAAAGCTTCAGATAATGCAAAACAAATGTTTAAGAAAATGTGCAAAGTCTCTTCGCTTCATTTATAATACACACATTCAATGAGAACTTCAAATAGAGCCCCTAAACGAGTATATAAGAAATAATTGGTTCAACAACACCCGACGTTAGTACGTGTCCCGGCGTTTCAAGTTGTAGACCAATGAATATTTTTAACAAATAAAACATTTTATCATATTTTTAACAAAAATAAGTGCTTTTTATGGGTGGAGGAAGATGCTTAACTACAAAACAAAACACAAAATAAGTGTTTTACAAACTAATAGCAACTAATACTGCAAACTTCTAGTGAACCTTCTACTTTTTCCTTCAAAACACGACAAAATATGTTTTCAAATCGCTAGGATGTAAAAGTACCACCTTGAAAAATCATGAGGGAATGGTGTGCTTTGTTAATCGATTGGTAAAGCGGCACCTTGAAACTACCAATTTAGAGAAAAATGATTTCCATGCTGAGAAGAGGTAAACCATTGGCCTCCTTGTGACATTCACGTCATGAAATTCAATATAATTTGTTGTTTATTGCAAAATGAAATGTCG